ACAAAGTTAGTTTACTTAGACCCTGAAACTTTGCTATAATATCACTAAAAGGGATAGAGAAGAGCAGAATTAGAAAGCCTGTCAAGTTTTTACTGCTGGATTCCCTCACTTTTGAGGGATTTCCTCTCACCTCCTGTTTTGGATATGGGACAAAGTTTTTGGAAATCTGATTTGATTGGACTGGTGAATGGTGGAGGAGATTGGACTGATGAATGGTGGAGCACCATTCCCCACAACAGCATCCATTGTTAGCCACTTCACCTGGTTCCACAGGTGGAGTGAGCAATAATCCTAGGGCCATAATTCATGATTAACTCGAAACCGATAACATGTAAAGGCTTTTAAAAGAGAAGTGCCAGAATGAAAAAAAATAAAAAAAACATACATACTCCTCACCGAGATGGCTGCAGCATCGATCGAATGCTGCAGCTGTCTCCTGCCAGCTCCACTTCTCCACTGGTGACCGCTCAATTCTCGGGTCCGTTCTAAGCACAGAGCAGTGTCCATTAGTTATCACACTGTGCTTTTTCCGCTCTAACACTCACTGGAGCTCCAGACTGTGGAGGGGGGGCAGGAGCGGAGAGCGTCAACTTAAGGTCAGGCAAAGAGCTTTGGCCATACTTCTTTAAAGCATTACCTATGAAAACTTTTAGGCACTGTAGTTTTTCACAGTTTCATAGGACCATGAAACTTTGAGTCTTGACATGTTTAGTATCTATTTCCGCAACAGAGAGGCATCTTGTATATTGTAGCATAACATTGGGTATTATATTGTGTTTGTATGCAGTAAAATTAATTTTAGTATTTTTTGTCTTGAAAATTTGTTTAATAACTAGCTGTGCAATAAAAAAAATTCAACTGACATTTCATTCTCCAGGGTCTCTGCTTTATGAAAATATATAATGCTTGGGGTTCCAAGTAATTTTCTAGCAAAAATTTTAAATTTTTAACATTGATGAAAAGTTTAAAAAATTGCTCAGGCGCAAAAGTGGTTAAACCTGAAGATTTTAAAAAAGAATTATGACCAAAATCCAGATACATTTTGATTCTAGAAAGATTTAAAAAAAACTCAAACAGACTACCTCCTGACCTGGTATGGCCCTAAACACAGTTTCTCACTTTGGACCCGGAATATAAATTGCCTAAAAAGGTGAGTTATTTCGCTAAATACAAACATTTCATATAGACTAGAGTCTAATCTTATTTCAAATCACAGAGACATCTATGATGCCTTTTAAAAAGTGTTGTCTAACAATCCACACACCTCAGGCTTGATAATCTTGCTATATTCTCAAATCCTTGTTAGGTCCATACCGCATCATGCTTACATGTGGAAATGGGAATCAGACCTCAACATCTCCCTTGACCTACAATGGCAACAAATGTGGGAAACTACGAATGTGTTCTCAGAACATAGTTGCACTAAAGTATAAATTGCTGTACCATTGGTTCTTTGTTCCAACTCAAGTTGTATGTTACACCCCAGGCCAAGTCAGGACCTGTTTTTTAGGGCTGCACAAAACCAGGCACGTATGCTTGCATATGGTGGACCTGCCCAATTGTCCATGCTCTCTGGACCCATGTCTGAGTTAGAGCAAATACGCCTAGGAGGCAACCATTCTGATGATACAAAGTGTGGCATTGCTCAATTTGAAACCAGATGAACTCTCCAAGTGTCATTTTAGACTTATGATCCATATTCTCACACCCACCAAACAAGTTATAGCCAAAGCATGGCTAACTTACACCCTATCCTTACAAACTGTATAAGCGAAGATACACTGGACACTCGGAAATGATAAACTACAAAACTCACTAACATTATGCTCACAAAACCTGGAACCCATGGCTCTCAAAATGTATGCCCTCAGACTTTGAACATCATCTCCTAGACCTATGAATGGTCATTCCTTCAACTGATGAGCCACCATCTAACTTTCCATTTGTAACTGCACACTAGTTGTCACTGAGCTTCAGCCTTTTAAGCCTGCTACTGATCAAATATTCATGTATTATATCATTCACATATGAAACTCTTTGACCTTTACCTAACCAGTGGCCTGAGAACCATGCCGATGCCCTATGTATCCTGTGCTGCTGTGTGCAATGTTGTGAAAACAATAAAAATTGACACAGAACAGTATGTCCAAAGTGTTTTTGATCATACGTCTCTAAAGGGTAACAAGAGCGTACGTACTTGTGATCTCTTGTGACCCAGAATCAGTTGACCGTTGGCTTATATCACAAAGTTGCTCCAGTCTCTGGAAGAATCCTAGTCATATTGTCAGGTTCCACCCTGTTGCCTGATCGACAGCTCTCAGCACGCGGCTGACAGCCAAAGCTAGCTGCATCCACCCCTTCCACAGCTTGGTGCTCCAGTGAGCACTGGAGGGGCAGAGCAGAGAGTACTGACTGACAGCTATACTCAGAGCTGACCAAAAACTGAGCAATCAGTGGTATTGTGTTTGCTCAGTTCTCGGGTCTTAGAGCCAGGAACAGCTGTAGCATGGAGGAGAGTACGTAATGTTTGCTTTTATTTCTTTTATTAGAAAAAAATAAATAAAATTACCCCAAACCTCTTGTTTAATGTTTATGAATGAATATGATAAAAGCGACATCATTTACATCTCATGAAGTATATCCTACATGCAGCTGGCTGTTGGTTATGGTAAAAAATCTTCCCTTCAGTGATGCCGAACTCTGCTCACAACAGTGAATTCCAGCCCTACCTTGGCTGCAACAGTGATGGATCGTGCCACTAGCCCTTCCCTTCCACCTCACCACTCCATTCACAAACATCATGGTATTATTTTCACATAATGGAAGAAGCAAGGAGGTTGCTACTGCTGACTTTTCCATCTGTGAATGCTAGATGCCTGGCTGTCATATTGCATTTTGCTTCGATACTCTGAGTCACTAACCCAGAACTATGCAGGTAAGCAATGCTGCCTTTATTCTAACTCTCATGGTTGTTCTGGGTGGCTGACTCAAGGCATCGAGGCAATTCACATCAAGGAAATCAGCAACAGCAGCCCCATCTTTCTCACAGGAAAGGATTACTTTAAAAGTATGGACTGTATGCTTTGCAAGGTCATTCTGAACAGTGTGCTTGTTAAAACTGATTTCTAGCTATTCAGTTTTTCCTGTGTGCGCCGAAGGCTTTAGATACACAAGATTTGGGCACTATATCCGACTGCACTGCCCACAACTTTTCACGAACTGCACAAACCTCAAACATTCACTAGTGTATCCTCCAACAATTCTGCTGATAGTTTACAATCTTGTGATGATCACTGCAACCCACAATCATATACAAAACAAATAAACTGACTGATTTTCTGTTTACAAACCAAAATCAGTCAATTTACCCATGTAGCTTAGGATTTGATGGTCATTGCTTTTTTAAATTACCTTAACATACGAGGTTGGCTATTTTAGTAATGCTTAAAGTTGAACTTTTAGTGGTTTTCCCCTTGTAAGTAAAACATATATCCTTACATTTCCATACAAGGGGCAGACCAAAAAGGAATGACTACACAAAAGATTTTAATGGTGAACTCTAGACAGATATGACACACAAATGACGGCAGCTCTGTCTGCGCCAATTAAAGAGTATGTAAAACCAACATTTCATGTTCCCGATATGTGACTGCTGTATCATGTACTTGTAAGAAAAAAAAAAAGTAAATGTATCCTGTTTTCTTTGTATATTGCTTCCCTTGTGTAAACCCTGGTGTTTCTGCCAGTTCATTTGCTTTCTTGTTAAAAACTGACCAGTCTAGGCTGGAGAGCACAGCATGGCCAGTTCTCTAGCTGTGCTTGGAACACTCTCCTTCAATTATCAGACTTGTCCTAAAATGCCAGCCCCCTGAAATGCCAGCCCCCTGCACAGCCTTTCACTGGCATGATTAGTGTACTGCTGTTTCTCCTCCCCTAGCTCTTCTTCAGCTGAGTACAGAAGGTTTGTCATCACTTATAAAAATACATAAACACTTTTTTCCTCGTGTGTTTTTTTTTTTTTTATATCTAAAAACACAAATGTTTTGCCTTTCATTATTATTTTAAACTGAATGAGTTGGTTTACAAGAGGGAGAGGGGGGGTACAAATAGTTTAATCATTCGATGTACTTCTTTCAATGCAAATAGCAGAATTGGTATGATTACCATCTCTTGCAATCCCCTTTAAATTAGCTCTCAGTCTGGGAGAGGAAGAGGTAGGACTGGGAGGTAGTGTGTTGCATGCATATGCTTTGGCAATTAAAATGCTGATTGGAGACAGCAGAGAGATGACATTAATCTGCTACTGATATTTCACTGGCCAAAACACTAGACGGGGTGGAGAGAGAAAAGACACCACTGTATTCCTTAACTGGCAGAGCTGTGTAAATGTAAGCTATAAATGGACAGAAGTACACATCCTTCAGCAAGTTAACAAGGTATATACTTTTATCTGTGTATTTATCCATTTGTCAGTGTTCAGTAACAATCTAAGAAATATTCACCTTATTTGTAACATCATTTTAATGAGCAGCAAATAGACTTGTAGACAAATTAAAAAGGAATGCTGCCCTCCACCCCACCTCCTCCACAGCAGGTGTGTCCAAGGAGATTTTTATGGATCCCAAAAAGACTTGCGTTTTGTTTTTTTTACCCAAAACAAAGATAACTTATTTGGAAGGTTTAATCATTTACACAACAGACATTTCAGATATAACATCACTGCCTAGGACATGAGAGTAACTATGTCCTTGAAACTCTTCACCATATTACACGTTTAAAAAAGGAGAAACAAAGCTTTAGATGGGAGTCTAGTCAGAATAGTAAGAGTCTCTCCATTTTACATACCGTTCTGTTCCAGAATTAATTCTCATGTGAAGAGGTTTCTTCCAAACCTCAAGAGCTACTACAACACCATAATAACAAACTGTTTGCGAACCAGAAAATAGAACTCTTGAAGACGTCAGCACACAAAAGTTGAAAAACAAAACAAACTGACTTACCAACTTTAGCAAAGGCCTCTCTTAGTTCTTCCAGCTCATCTTTGGAGATCTGTGTTGTGTGTGCCATTGTCCGTGGCAGCTAAACCCTTAAAAATAAAGCGAAACTAACATTAACATGCTTATGCTGCCCACATTGAAGACAGCATTAAAGGACTCAAAGCAAGATTTCTAATGCACTTCAGGCTTTCATATAGTACATGAAAATAAGAAAAAAAAAAATCCATGTTTCCTCTGTGATTGAGAACCTTCAGTGCAAAACAAGGAAGTGTCCTTATATCACCCAACTTCCCAGACTTAGCAAGACATGGAGCCAGTGTTACCAATTTGGCCCATATTTTCATCTGCTGAGTAATTCATGTGGATTAACCAATACCCAGTGACATTATATGGGCACCACTTTACCGAAGTTCCGACTATGGCATGCTATAGGCACCACTTTATCTGCAGTTCTGACTGGTGTCTCCTCAGCTTAGAATGATGTCTTGCTATTGCTTCAATGAACAGAAGACCTCTCTGTGTTAATATGCCAGAGTACAATGTTGTAAAAGATTTCAAGTTACTTAAAAAATATATATCTTCTAAAATTATGACAGACCTGAATGAGATGAAAGTAGACTGAGCATTACAAACTACAATGGCTGTTTCCCTGTAGCTCTCAGACTCTCATCGGAAAGAAAGCTCCTTTCTACTGCATAATTAAATGGCCGTCACTGCTCTGGACAACTAGGGTTTAGTTACTTGCATTAAATCAAATTCTGACAGCTTAATCAAAACACAAAAGAATGCATATAAAGTCCAAAGCATTATAATAAGCTGGAATGTACAATGGCATTGTATGTATTTCCCTAATGGTGCACCTAAAGCCAAAAACACTACTAGGAGTTTTAGAAATGCTGTAATAACTAGAAAGTTTTTGGGGTTTTTTTTCCTTTAATTTTGCTATGTCACAGCTGGAGAGGCTGGAATGCTCTATTTGTCCAAATTAACAGTTTTGACCAGAAAATGCATGCAGTGGGGGCCACCTGTTCCTGGGACAACTGTCAAAGGGGATTTCCTTTCAATCTGTAGAGTTTTTCCTGTCTCTGGAACATGAAGTGTGAGGAAATGTCCTCCAAACAGCAAAACAAAACAAAAACACAAAAAAAAAAAAAAAACCACGTTTTTTTGTACCTTTGCTGTTCTATCCCAAAGTTAAAAAAAAAAAAAAAAAAAAAAAAAAAAAAAAAAGTTTTTTTTCCCAATGCAGCATGCCACAATGCCTTAGTGTGTTGGGAATCAATTCAAAATGAAGTGAGGGGAAACGTCCCCTAACAGCACACAGAAAGAAAACAAAAAAAAGAAGATTCCAGCAAAAAGTGTCAAGTATGGCTGTGGATTCAGGCTTGGTTCACATGTGTGGGTGAGGCTGCTGCAGATCCGTACGAAAATTCGTGCAGCCGCATCACCCGCACAGGAAAATGCGGACCCGCAGGTGGATGCCATTAATTCTAATGGCATGCTGCCCGCACTGGAAATCTCAACCGCACTGGGAACCAAGGTTCCCATGCGGGCTGCGGTTTCCAAAGAAGTGCAGGGACTTCTTCCCTGCGTGTCACAGGGTATGGGAGTCCATTCAAATGAATGGGCTCTTGTGCTGGCGCAAAAAGCGGCCCGCACGGCCGCATATATGTGAACCAGGTATCAAAGGCAATATTTTAAACAAAGGTAGATTTACTAAAACTGCTAAACTCAGAATCTACTGCAGCTGTGCGTGGTAGCCAATCAGCTTCTAACTTCAGCTTGTTCAATTAAAGCGGAGTTCCACCCAAAAGGGGAAGTTCCGCTTCAGAGATTGATCCCCAGTTCCCCATTAAGGATTGGCACCTTTGGGGGGGGGGGGGGGGGTAATGGGTACCCGAATTTGATAGGTTCCCACTTCCGCTGCGATCGCCTAGGTGATCGGAAACGGAAATTGTCCTCCTACCCTTTTTCCCTGAAGACTTGTGGGACACATGACAGGTCCCAGAAGACGACGGGGCTATTCAGGAAGCCCTACTCAGGGCGCAGCGCTACTCGCACATGTGCAGTGGGCACCCAGCTGTGAAGCTGCAAGCTGTCACAGCCGGGTGCCCACAATGAAGATGCCGTCGCCTGGAATACAGGACAGCCGTTGAAACTGGCTGTGGTGGGGGCAACACGGGATCGTGGGACAGGTGATTGACTGTTTTTTTAAAAGTTTTTGTAGCTGCTGACTTAATTATTTTTTTTTTTTTTCACAGAGTGAGTGGAACTCCGCTTTACGCTTTGGAAATAAAATCTGGAAACATATTGGTTTCTATGCAGATTTGCACCAGATATTGCACTTTACAGTTTTTGTAAAATAAACTCCATACTGTCCATTCAAACTTGTTGCTTCTTGTGTGTTGCACTAACAGATTGTGTCAAGTTTAAACAGCCCATTCATGTTGCATGGGCAGCCAACACACAGGAATAGAGAAAAAAATGGATCTGCATAATGTTTCAAATGCAGCGCACCACAAAGCACAACAGGGCGTTACAATGTGTTGTGGTGTGCTGCAATGCATGTGCATCAGAGCTGCACTGCCTTGGGATGCCTTGAAAATGGATGGTGCTGTAACACGTGTAATGTGCCTGTTCCTGCAACACACTGCACGTCAAAAGGTGTGTGTTTCAACCCCATTACTATTGCAGTAATTTCAAGGAAAAGAAATGCATTTTTTTTGGTTGTAAAAACTGTGGTCAGCTGCAGACTGAAAAAAAACAAGCATATTTTACAGGATTAAGTTACACACTGTAGCTACTATAAAATGTTAAATACATTTTTCCTGTAACTGTAGCTTTCTGTTAACATTAGAAACATAACTTACCCAAGTGCAACAGAATCCTTATAAAAATATCCTAGATGGTTTACGTTTCAGCCTGTAACAAAAAAAAAAAAAAAAAAAAAAAAAAAAAAGTATGAAAATTAGGACAATGTTTTAAAAAAAATGTACAGATAAAACAGTGGTAACGTTTATTTTAACTAAAGCAATTATGTATCAAAACATGGAATAAATACTGCATATCAAATCAATACAGTTGTGTCAGTAGTCACCCTTCTAAGGCTCTGTGCACACAAGAGTTAAGCTCCTAAAAGCTACTAGAAGCTAAATAGTGTTATCCTTCTAGTTTTGGAGTTATTTGTAAAATTTTTCAAGCAGAAAAAAAAAAAAAAAAAAAAAAAAAAAAAAAACCTCAAAAACACTAAAATGGTCCTAAACAAACACTGCTAAATGCTGCTAAAAACACTCCAAACAGCTTTTATTCTAGGTGTACTGTAAAAACTCAAATAAAATGCTAACGCTACTAAAAACCGCTATTACCAGTGTTTTATTATCCAGCGTTTGAGCTTAAAAAAAAACAAACAAAAAAAAAAACAGATACAGATAAATGGATCAGTCCACCTAAATCTGATATTTCAGCTTTTGGGAATTGGAAACTTGAACCAACTTGTTGATTGCTCTTGCAGGGACTCAGTGGGGATATCCCAGAATTCTGAGTCTGTGCACTAAAATTCTACATTTTAGATACTGATCTACTCTTGGATTGATCATAGTAATCCAACCAACTGGTAAACATAGGGAACTTTGGGGGTCAAAACATTTCCCAGAAAAAAAACATGCAATTTAATTATAAAACAAAATGGTATTCGGTCACTGAGTCACCATTAAATAAATAACTGGGTGTGGTCCTCTAACCCAAACCTATGAAACAAAACCAAATTTGGGGGGTTAGGACATAGATGTCCTTTCCCTAATAGGAGTTACCACGCAGGGCATGTAAAATGAACAGTTTGATAGTTTAAAACAAAGTATCAAACACTAGAAAAATATATATTCTCCACCTTCCAAAATTAATAACTATGTTGTCATAACATACAAAGTCTGAACACAGCCATATATATACTACCAGGTCATGTCAGCCATGAGCAGTCATTAAGATGACCGTATCTATCCCAATAGAGCATCTGATGTTACAAACACGGCTGCACCTCACAAAAAAGCCAAATATTGGCAATAATGAGTTTAGCACTTAACCCACATTACCCCAAGATGTTGACACTTTCCCCGCCAGTGTAATTAGTACAGTGACAGTATTATCACTGAATTGGTGTCACTGGCAGTGTGAGTGTCAGATTGTCTGCAGCACTATCCCGGGCGCACTGTAAGTCTCTGCTCACCACCATTACTTGTATAAAAATAAATTCATATATATATACACATCTATCTATCTATATCTATCAATATCTCTCATACACACATTTTATATATATACATACATACATACATACACACACCGTAGTTTTCAGAATCTATAATGTTCAAATATACCAATCAATATATGCTTATTGGGATTTGTTTTGTTTTTTTTTACCAAAAGGCATGTAGCAGAACAGATTTTTGCCTAAATCATGAAGAAATGTTATTTTATTTATTTTAAATCTGATATGTTTTATAGCAGAAAGTAACAATTTTTTTTTTAATTGTCAGTATTTATTGGTTTATATATATTTAATCATTAAAAAAATGGATACAGCACAATTGCCAGTTAAAGTAGCGCAGTGCTAAATGGCAAAAAAATGGCCTGGTCATGAAGGGGGTAAAACAATCACCTCCATGGCCACAGGTGTATAAAATCAAGCACCTTGGCATGCAAACTACAAACATTTGTGAAAGAATGGGTCGCTCTCAGGAGCTCCATGAATTCAAGCGTGGTACCGTGACTGGTTGCCACCACCTGTGTAATATGTTCATCCGTGAAATTTCCTCGCTACTAAATATTCCACGGTCAACTGTTCATGGTATTGTAACAAAGTGAAAGCAACTGGGAACAGCAACTCAGCCACGAAGTGGTAGGCCACGTAACATGACAGAGCCGGGTCAGCGCATGCTGAAGCGCACAGTGCGCAGAAGTCGCCAACTGTCTGCAGAGTCAATAGCTAAAGGCTAAACTTTGTGTGGCCTTCAGATTAGCACAACAGTGCGTTGAGAGCTTCATAGAATGGGTTTCCATGGCTGAGAAGTTGCA